GCGGCGGAAGAAAATCAGTCCTATTACTTTCCGGACAAACCATGTATGAGGATACGTAATGATAGTAGAATGTTTATAGTTTCTATTTCCATACTTATACCGCTTTAAACTTGAAAAACCTTTCCAGGGCAATAAATTTTCCTTAGGTGCGCACAGTTTTCCCACTTTCTCTTACATACAACGCATTTTATAAATCATAATGTGTTGTATATATTATATATTGTATATATTATTAAATTAAAGTATTTTTTATGAACTTTGCCTTAATTTGATAAAAATTATTACTTATTTGCTTGTGTTTGTATAATTATAACTAAAACAGTCGCAAGAGATGAGATAAACTAAAAATAAAGACAATTAGTAAGTTCTTTTTAAAATATTTGTCACAAACTACTATTTGTAGTACTATTTGTTGTAATTTAACTATGTAATAAATATAACGTACCTTATAAAGAAATTTGAAACCAAATTGGAAAAGTCCCATTCCAGAGAATCTAAGAGGCACATAAACTATTCGCAATAAAAATTGTGAAATCTGTATAAAAAATGTATTACTTTTAATGCATATATCTTGCTGATTTTATATTTACTTGTATGTTTAATATGTACTTTAACAATATATCTTTACGAATTTATTTTTAAACTTACGATTTCACGAATTTCAACATCACAAGTGGTACAGGATAATCTATTTAATAAATTTGCTGTTGCGTTTGCCTGAAATTGTAATTTGTTTAATGTTATTAAAAATTGCATCTTAATGAAACTTCTAATTTAATTTTAAATTGAGATATCAATAATAATCTTTATCGATTTATCTATTATGAAAACTTTTTAAATTAATGTTTCCTGAAATTTAATCTACCTTAGTACTGATTGTTTCGCACATATAATTTACAAGCAGGAATTTGAAAATTTGATGAGATAAGTAGAATGACCACAAGGTGATAGCCATTATTTTTGATTTTTTATAATTTTCGATAAGTATTATATTGAATAATTCGCGTAACTCAATTGTTATCCAAATAAAATAGCATGCCATTTTGGTAGTCATTTGGATCCCAAATATTGAATTTATATCACTGGATATTTTGCGTAATTCTAAGTAAAGATGTCTGGACAAATATAAATGTTCAGTTTAGTTTTATGTATATTGTTATTTATGAATGTTAATTTTTTTTCCATGATGTTACCGCTATTAATAAAATTTACATAAAATTTCTTACATAATAATCCACGTTATACATTTATTACTTAGTGGTTTCGAAAATCTGTGTTGGTGATATATCCGAGGATTTTCCTAAGCCCGTGTCATTTCGTGTTTTTGATTCTTTATTAAATTCCGAAGGTGTTCATTGATTTCGTCAAATTTCAATTCTGTGTACCTAAGTTTAAAAAGAATAGATAGAAAATGAAATTAATTGAAACGGTTTTATTTTATAAGCACTTTTAAAATTTTTACTTTAGAAATTGTAAAATATTTATGCATTACATTTTAATTTTATGTACATCAATAACTATACAGTTATTTATACAGGGTGTTTAGAATTTAAATGTTAAAACTTTGGAAGCGTGTAGGGGATCGATAAACGAAAAAAAAGTTCTGTACAAATATGCTCGTTTTTGCTTTATTTTGGAGAAAATTGAAAAAAAGATGAAATGTAATTGCTTCGTTCTCATACTGCCTTTGAAATATTAAGTACCAGCGCAAGTTCTGATTGGTTGCTGCTTTTCTACTTTCTGCTTTTCTGTCAAGCCCCATAATATATAGGTACTAAACTTAGTTTCCAGTTTTTTTGCTTAAAAAACTCATTTGTTTCGATATCAAAAGCAAAAAATACATTAAAGTATTTGCCCTCGCTAGCTATACATTTTTCACATTTTTGTAGCAATAAATGGATTCCGCGACGATAGAACGATTGGTCTTTTGAAGCAATCCATAAGGCTTTTCTGTTTTCTGCTTTTCTGTCAAAGTGAACGCGCGCTTATCATCGCTGAAATCGTGTACGAAAATAATAATAATAATTCCGTTTTTCAATGAAATTTTTTTGATTGTTTCAATTTCTTTTCTTCTGTAAATTCGACAGTTACTCGTCAGAAGTCATAGAGAGAATTGCTCCTGTCACAATATGCCGCATACGTATTCTAACATTGAATATGATATGGTTTTTGTGTATGGTTTCTACAATAAGTCAATATTTTTTGAATAATATCTACATTAAGCAAGTAAATAATTTTAAATAAATACAAATACAATAATAAATAATGAGAAAGTACAAAAATGAAAACTACGTTTTGGCTTTTTTGCTATTTTCTTCAAAACTATGCAAAGACGGGCATATTTGTACAGGACTTTTTTTCGTAGTTTATTGATCTCTTACATGCTCGCGAAGTTATGGCATTTAAATTCCTGTATAAATAACTATAGTCATAAGATAACAATATACTAATAAATATATGTAAAAAGAAATACTAACTGAAGGAGACTTGCATTAGTCAAATCACCTATGAGATTGATATGAAGACAGTAGTCTTGTTGAATGGAATAAAGTATAATTAATACAATATCACGGTCATATTTATCTTTTAGTAATGAAACTGAATAGTACATTGATAATATAACTATGAAAAAACCCATCCTAAGACACACCATATTCCTTTTTTGCGTAGATTGTTGTAATCTGTCATTGTTCCTAGCTTTAGCAAGGTGTTGTCGATAATATCAAATTTTTTTCAAACAGTTTTGGAATTTCTGTCACAAAAATGGAATGTGAAATAGGCAAATATATTATAATATATTTTAGCCTTGATATATGTTATCAAGATTATAATTATGAGTGACCATCGGAAAGTTTATCATTTTTAGTCCTCAACCATTGCTCGTTAAAAAGTTATTATCAAAAAAGTTTACAGTATATTTATGCATATTAAGCATATATTTAACTTTATAACTTAAATTTTATTTAATACAAATATCACATTATTAATATATTTATATATTTATGAATTTGTGAATAGGGAAGGACCTGAACTATACAATCACAGATTTCGTTTTATCCGACTAATAAATAGAGGGGAGGGTAATGTGGGCCACGCTTCGTAAGTCGAAACTAATATGAAACTTCACTTTGCGTGGGAAATTGTGAATTTATATAAAACTTTGCTTTGCGTTGAAGAATATTACGTGGAGACAATGGATCTGACTTTTTCTACGAAGAAGAGCCCATTACTAAAAACTATAGACACATAAGTAAACCTCGTTTCGTGTGGAAAGCTGTACATTCATGAAGCGACGTTTCATACAAAGTATAGTTCAGTCAAAACATATGTGTCTAATTTTTTGATAGTGGATTGAACTTTCCTTGTAGAAAAAAAAAAGGGCAGAATCCATTGCACGCACACGCACACGCACACACATGCACACGCACATATAACGCAAAGCATGACTCCAAAAACAAAACAAGATTTACAATTTTCCACGTGAAATTCACAAGAATTTCGATTTTCCAAGCGATGTCTATCTTACCTTTTTTCCTGTTTATAGGACAAAATGAGGTCTACAGGATAGTAAAGTTTTATTCGTTTGTTTATATTAACAGCTAAATAATCTATGTCTAATATTTAATTTGTTCATAAATCATGTTATATTTATGAAATTTATACTGTTAGTAACTTGTTAACGAACGACCGACGCCAAAACTTTTGAAGGTCGGTCAGAGTAGTAACCTTAATAACGTATATGAAGATCCATAATCGAAATATTTACTACCGTTTTTATTATTAAACAGATGCATGTAGAATTTAATGTATTGTGAGTTAAAATTCATATATATATTTTTTACATATTTAATTGTATTTAAATAAAATGCGTAAATAGACAAGAATATGTTTGTTCTTAATAATTATGTATATTATAATAATCGTTTTATACTAATAATGTTATAAATATATATTATAACATTTTATTACCTTATCTTGATATATTCCAAACACGATTAATAATATCGTTATAAAGCTTTCTAGATGAAGGGAAAATTGATCATCGGAGGGATAACACTTATTAAAAGAAGTTATTAAGGCACATGATGAGAGGAAATAGTACACTAACCAAATCAGCATATATGTGACACTAAACCATAATTTTGAATGATTAGATATGGCAATTCTTAAGCCAACTATATAATTGATTATTAAAAATGGCATTAAAACCATACGAATATTTTTGGTCATTGCACACTTAGTTTTTATTTCAACGTGTACTTTCGTTGATCAGTTGGTTGTATAAATTTATTTGAATGATGACGATAGTAAATGCAATTTCAGTTAAGACACTTAGAAATATTAAAACAATTAGCCTATCACAATTTATGCTTTATTATTTATTGAAACTTATAGATGAATGATGGATATACTTTTATTTTTACTTATATATATATACATTAGAATAAAAGTGCGATTAGGAGACCACTAATATGACTTTGACAATACATATCAAGATCAAGATCATTGAAACTGGGTTTCCTAATTGATACTTTTATCTACCTAATATTAGTACATAAAAAAATATTTCATATTTCATTATTTCAATTGAACCTCGCATGGAAAGTTATATATTTGTATGAAGCGATATTCCATATAAGTTACATCTTTCTATGCAAAGCGTGATTCAATCCAAACCTATGTGTCTAGTTTTTTGATGGTTCAGCTTGTCCTTTAGAAGGAAAAAGAGCGAAATGACGCACACGCATTTAACGCGGAGCAAGATTCCAAAAACAAAGCAAAATTTACAACTTTTCATGCAGAACAAGGTTCCACAGGAGTTTCAATTTTTTGAGCAAAGTGACATATACTCCTCTCTCCCCCTGCTTATAGGAAAAAATTAAATCTATATAATTATAAAGTTTCACTTCTTTGTAATGTTTAAGTTGACAGCTATATAATCTGTGTCTAATATTTATTCAAAAATCATGTTCTGTTTATGAAGCTTATTCTGTTATTAACTTATTTTTAAGTTGCGATCGATGGTCTAATTATTTGATGGTCACTCAAGGTCATGACTTTGATAACATACCGTATGTTAAAATTAATAAATAATCGGAATATTTACCACAGTTTTTTATTATTGATATAAGTGCAAAATTTAATATATTATGAATTACAATCTTTATATATATATTTTATCTATTTAATTGTGTAAATAAACAAGAATATTTTTATTTTAAATAATTATGTATATTATAACAATTGTTTTTATTAATTTATTTTATATTATTACATTATTACGTTTTTATTATATTATTATAAATACTATAACATTTTTTGTCATTTATATAAAGTTTTTATTTCAAACTGTACCTTTGTTCAATCAGTTGGTTGTATAAATTGAATCAAATGATAACAATAATAGATGCAATTTCTGTTAAGGCACTTAGGAATATTAAAGCAATTAGCTTACCACAATTTATGCTTTATTATTTATTGAAATTTATAAATGGATGATGAGTATACTTTTATTCGTACTCATATTATATATATATATA